GGTTTTTCCCTCCAGCACTCCCTGATGTGCGTCACATGGGGCTGTGGCTCAGGCCTGGGTTTTCTCCCTTTTTGCTGCCCCACTGCTTTACTTCCCCCAAACCTCCCTGGCAGCGAGCCCAGGAGCTGCTGCCACTGCCTCCGGGCAGTCTGGGGTGGGTGTCCCGAGACGGCGCCCCGCTCTCACTAGCATTTACCGGGGCTGAAGATTTGCTGTGTGCTTCTGTCATAAACCTCAGCAGTGTGAACGGTTATTCCTCATCTCGAAGGAGAGTGCTGGGAACAGAGGTGAATGAACCTGTGCACCACAGTACAGCTGCTAGATGAATGTTTTATGGGGTATTTGCTGTGATGCTGAAGTACCTTTGGAGTTCAAGCACTGCTGAAATACATCTCCCCTGTCCTTTCCAGCTCATTAACACCCGAATCCAGCCTGGCTCATGAAGGGACCAGCTGTGGCTCTCCTCTGGGGACCTCACGCCCTCTGTGCTAGCAGAGAAAGCCCCCTCTGGCTTTCCCAGGAGAGCCTGGCCCTCCAGCCCTGCTCGTGTCCTTCCCTGGAGGGGCCTGTGTCCTCCAGGTTGGTGGCACTGAGACGCCTCCCTGAAGCTTCCTAACCACCATCCATCCCCCCCAGCACCGAGGGAGGGGCTCTGCTGTCGAGGTTTCAGCCAGCAGAAGGGGAGCTGCTTCTGCTGGAGACGTTTCCGATCTGTCTCTGCCAGGGGATTCCCATACATTGCTGTCTGCTCCTCCAATTTTGGAGTCATTTTGCCCCACCTGACTCCCCCAGGGCTCCTCCCAGCCCAATGAGGGCTAGTTGTGTCTCGAACCTTCTCCTTAGTTAAATTTCTAATGGATATCTAATGGGTCCCTGGTCTGGGGGGCTCCCACTGCCCTGAGACTGGGGGAAATGGTTATATCTTCTGCTGAACTCAGTGGGAGATCTGCCCAGGAGGGACGGGGCTGATTGCTCAGACCCCGGCACCAGTGTCCCCAAGCACAATCCCTGCTGTTTGTGTGCTAGGGGACTGGACTCCAGCACTAATAGTCCAGCATGGATTTTAATTCCTCTGAGGGTGGTCTCAGGGTTCCCGGCCATAGTGATCCTGGCAGCTGTTCTCAGTGGCTGGATCGTGGCCTGGTGGTTCTCTTTGGTGTGCATCATGATGCCCAGACTGTGCTGATGATGAGCCAGAGTGTTTCTTCAGGGAATGGTGTTGCACCGACTGAGTACTGTCTTACCAAGAGTCCCCATCCATCTGAGATGGATGTTCTTGGGGCTGCTCTGGCTCCTAGTCTGCTTGTGTGCTGGATGAAGAGGCCAAGAGTCTGGCCTTTGGGAGATACAAGCTCCATCCCTGGGTCTTCTCTTGGCTCCCTGTGATCTCTTTAGCAAGTCATTACCCCTCTATGCCTCATGATACTTACTTGCAAGACAGATGTAGGGCTCATGAGATGTACTGGGGAAAGTCTTTCTACTGGTGTCATGCAATGGTAGGATCTGCAGCGTGGTGGAGCAAGGGGCAATACAACCCCTCTCTGTAGTGTGGGGACAACCCTGGGCCAGCTTCATGCCGCTGTCCTCAGCCCGCTGGGAAATGATGGGGCTGGAATGAATCTTTCTGCTTGCGCTGGGAAACTTCCTCCTACTGGCAAATGCTCCTGGGTTTGCTTCAGGGTGTTCTGAATATGTGGGGTTGTCCAGGTCACTGAAGCAAATTGTTTTTTTAAAGAAAACTAATCAGGGCAGTCCTATACTTTGCTGTGTAGCAGGTGACCTGCTTGGGATCAGGCAGTGACATCTGCTTTCTCAGTCCCAGCTGAGTTTTACAGCTGGCAGAGAATGACTTGGGAGGCAGCTGAGACAGGAAGGCTCTGGTTAGTGTTCAGGACTGAGGGAACAAGAATTGAAACCTGCTGGAGATTGCTTTGGTCCTGAAAAAAAAGGAAGTAGAACGTGGGGAGACTGCTCCCCAGGCTGTGCCAGGAGGGTGTGGAGGTAGCCTGATGCCAGGGAAGGTTGTACAGCAGTTTGTGTTTTCTGATGGACCCAGGGTCAAATAACTGCAGTGGGGATGTGAGGATGCAGAAAGTCACAGGGGAGGGATTTTGGGGGTGGTGGGGCTGTGACCTCCCCCATCTGTCCTTACCATGGTGGGGGGAGGAAGCTAGTCTGTGGTTGACAAGTCTGACCAATTCCCAATCTGCCTATGCAGCAGATGTCGGGCAGTGGCTCACCTTGGCTCCTCGACTCTCCCTGCACCATGGATGGGACTTACCCTGAGGCTCTCGACCAGTCTGCCTGGGGGTCACAGCCCCTGTCTTTGCAGGGGTGGCCTGGCATCTGGTGCAGAGAGAGGGGTTTTGAACTCTCCTGTCTTATGAACTTGATTTTTTTTTTTTTTTTCCTACCCAAATGCCTTTTTCCCCCCTTGCCAAGAAAGCTGTCTGATCAGCAGCAATTAACAAAGCAAACTGCAGTAATGACCTTTATAGTGTGTTCTGTGCAGTCTCTCTGAATGCCCTCAAGAAGAACGTGCCAGATGTTTGGGGATTTCTGCTCTGCAGAGATAGGGCCAGGACATGACGAAGTGCAGCGGAAGGTGCACAGGAGGGGCTGTGCTAGGCAGGCAGTAATGTTCACTCTGTGGAACTTCACCTGGGGCAGACCATGTGCATAGCCTCTGCATGCAGTGGTCCTCATGCTGGTCAGCAGACCGGGTGTGGGCTGTAAGACCAGCACCAGGGTATCCCACCAAGACTGGGAAACTTGGGGCTCAGCAGCTGACTGTGCCTTTTCAGCTGTGATAGGCCCTGCAAGCCCCCACGGCTGCCTAAGCTCTTTTGATGGTTTGATCTCAGCTCTTCTTGTCTTGCTGCTGTTCAACAGCACATCCAGGAAAATGCTGGACTCAGGTACTGCTTTCCCATCAATCATCAAAGACTCTCTTTTCATTTGCTTTTTGGGCTTCACCTTTTTAATCCAGCTGTCTCCTGCTTTACAAATGTTCTTTCCTCAATGATTTACACCAAGCTGCAGGGCTGTCTCCATTCATCTGAGGAGAAGGATGAAGCTGCGCACCCACCCAGGGCTCCTCCAGCTGAGTGCATGAGAACCTGCACCAGGAGCTGGCCCCTGTGTAGTCAGTCCCCACTTATGCCAAGCAGATTGCACTGGCGTGAGGGGTGGCTCTGCCTTGTGCTTCCACCACTGGCCACATCCCAGGTGGCTTCTGCCCATCTGACACACGGGCCCTCCAGGTGCAAATGTAATGCAGGAACATATTGCTCTCCTCAGCCTTCATCAGAGGATGCAGGTTGACACTTCTCGTTCCATCCCTCTCCCTTGGTGCTGGTGTAGGGATTATCTCTAAAGAGACATGAGAAAGAAAAGGTGCCAGGCTTTCTCAGAGGAGCAGCTTGTGCCTGCTTTGCTTGCAGCAGCTGTCGAGCTCCTGTCCCGTCCATGGGGCATGGGTTGGGGTTGGAGGTGGCCCAGATGATGGTGGCTCTCCGTGAATGCCTCTGAAAGAGGAGCAGACCTCTGCAGAGTGCATGTTGCTTCTGGCCCCACATTCAGGAGGCAGAAAAAGGACTTCCCGGATGAGAGAATCCAGTGTCAGCTTGGAGATGAAGTACTGTTGGAGCTGGGAAGTGCCAGATTACTGGAAGGACAGACTATGGGGAGAGAGCCTGCCTTACTCTAAGGTGTCCTGATGAGGACTGTGATGTCCTTATTCCCACTTGGGATTTCAGGCTCCTGATATGAAATATGAGCTTTTGGGGCAATCCTCTGTGTCCTATGCCCAGCCCTTCATAGAGCTCCCTCATCTCGTGCACTGAGGGGGCTGCAGGCATGGAAAGACAGGTCATGTTTGAAGAGATGTGCTGAGCTGCTTTCAGGTGCCAGGGCATGCCACAGCCAGCTCTGCTGTGCTGCTTTCCAGGCTAGGAACCAGCTCAGACCATTCCTGCGCCAAGGCTGCTTTATCCCCATTTCTTAATGCTCTTATCTTGAAGGCTCCCCTCAGATTAAAGCCCAAGCAGTCAGTTCCCTCCCCGGATTTATTGCAATGCAGTTTTCTTCCTCTAATCCAATCAGAGTGTAAGCTGCTCTTTTCAAAGTGCACCGGGAGGACAGATGTGCATGTCACTGGTGCGGTGAGCCAGGCTGACAGAAAGCAGCAGGAAGGTGCCCTGTTCTTTAGCTTGGTGCCACATCTGACTGTTTCCATGTGTGATGTCTCAACAGTCACAAGGCAAAAGGTTTGCTTTGGAGCAGGGTGAGTTGCTCACCATGCTGAAGTCTGTTGACCTTCCTGGACACCCTCATCAAACCGGAGCCCAGTCTTTGGTCTCTGACAGCCGTGGAGGCCCTGGAGTCAAGGGAACCGTGCTGTCCATTCCAACAGGACCCCAGCAGGGGTTCAGGTGGCATCGGAGGATTTGACCTCAGCAGTGTGACCGCCACCCATTCATGGTGGAGTGCTTGTTCCTGATGAGCTAATGAGTCCATGGCCATGCTTGGAGCAGGGCTAGGGTAGCCAGGGAAGGACGTGCATCCCTGCTGAGTTCCTTCTTTGCCTCTGCCTCTTGCTCTACTGAGGGTCTGGGGAGCTGAGACCGCTCCTCTCTGTGTGGCTGGCTCCCTGCGAGGGCTCTCCCTGTCCTCCTGATGGGTGCTCTGTAGGTCATGCCCACTCAGTGTGTTCCCAGGGATGGCAGGGACACATGGGGAGCCGGGGAGGGCTGGTGGAGAGGAGTGCCTGTGGGAGATGGGGGTATGGGTGTGCTCTGAACCTGGCAGGCAGCGATACATCTGGGGTCTCGGTACTTTGGAACAGGAGCATCTCTGCCAGATCCCTCCCTCACCGGGTGGGCCTGAAGGGACCTGGATGTTGGGGGTAAGACTGGAGGAGGATGACTCTTTCGTGATGGGGAAGGGACTGTGGTTAATCCATGCCTGCCTGGACTCACACTCAGTTTTGCCCTCCTCAGCCCAAGGAGCCTGGTGAGCACGGTCACAGAGCTGCCGCCTGGCTCTGCCCACCCCACGGCCAGCGCATGGACCACCACCGTCCTCCAGCACATGAATGACAGCAGCATCCTGGCAGAAGAGTCACCTCAGAGAGCAGCGTCCGGACTGTGAGTGCTCCGGGCACCGCGGGCAGGGCAGGGGCCTGAGGCAGGACCCCACAGGGTCACGGTCCTGCTCCGTGGGGTTTCCCTGGGGCAACGGGCAAGGGGAGCCTGTGGGTTTTGGAAAGCTGTGAGCTTCTCTCTTGGGATGCTGTTGCCCTGCAAGGCAAAAAGAGAGCCTGAGCACCGAGCGGCATCAAAGGAGGAGAGGTACTGCTGGCAGGGTAGGGAGGGATGGGGGGCTGTCTGGGGTGCACAGGTGAGCTGATATGAGGTGCTGGCATGGGCCCAGTGGCCTGGGGCGGAGGGAAGCTGGAGGACTCTGTTACGGGTGTGTCTGGGGTCAGAGCGAGCCGTGATGGTGTCGGCTCCGGGGGATGGCTGGGATGCTGGGCAGTGGCTGGAGCAAAGCCAGAGCACAGGAGCATCCAGGCTCCTGCTGTGACTGGGGGGAAGAGCCCATGGAGGCCGGGCCAGCCATGAACCAAGCGGCAAGCAGAGGGAGGAGGCACCTACACCCATCAGGTATAGGCGCAGTGGGATCTGTGGGGCTGCCCCTCGCCATGGTTTCTTTCTGCTCTCCACTGCTAGCTCGTGACCACGAGTTCAGCTACACGTGTGGTGGTCCCCAAGGTCCCTGACTCTCTGTGGGTTAGGTGGGCAAGAGGAGGATTCAGATGCTTGACCCCTCTGGTGAGCCAGAGAAGGAGGCCTCTGCAGGGAACGGCTGCAGCCCTCTCGAGCACATGGAAAGCCTGTATTTCTCCCCTAAGGAGAGAGATGAGCCTGTGCAAAGGGTAGGGTTCTGTATTCAGTGTTGTCACAGCTGCTAAGGTCCATTAGGAAGGATCTTATTCTGAAAGCAGCAGACACCTAAGAGGCAATGAATAGGTGGGACAAACCTATGAAGAAATAAATCACATGCCTGCCCCATGTCAGGAAAGATCTTCTGCCATGTCTCAGGATGTGACAACAGCTCCATCAGGAGCTCAGCCAAACTCAGGCATTCGAAAGGTCTTGATTTGGCCTCCCAAAGGGAGAAGATGGTCAAAAAATCCAATAAGCATCAAGAGCATTTAAGGGCTTTTCCTTCACAGCCCCGGAGCCTTGGTCTGTGGCAAGTAGCTGTGGGACCCCAAGGGGTGGGAGACAGTTCAGGGGCTGGTATGGGTGCCCTGTCTCGGCCCTGATGCCACTTAGAAGTAAATAATGGCTGCTCTAAAGAGCACAGGCTGCCAGAGATCTCATGGCCCTCACAGCATGTGGCTTTCTCAGTACAGCAGCTACTAAAACCCTTCTTTGAATTGTTTTCACAGGAAAATCCATTATATTTTTTAACCAAGTTGATCTTTTTGCCCACTCTCTGGGCCGATAAAAGAGTGCCTTTGTAGCCTTCTGGGGTCATTGACAATGAAGAGGCATGTGGGTTTTTGCAGGCTGGCATACATGGAGGCTTCTCCTTAACGTCAAGGCTCTGGCAAGTGGTTCAGATGTCTCAAGATTTGGGGATGAGGATGGAGGTCAGGCATATATGTGTGGAAGGATGGGCTGTGCACCTGAAGTGGCTACTGTGTTGAACTGAGGATTGAGGTCATGTACAGCTGCAACGTCATCCCCTTCGGCACTGCAGAAAAGACCTTTTCCAGCCCTCCTCCTGAACAGCATGTGCACAGACAGCAAACCCTACCAACGCAAACTGAGAATGTGGTTTGGTGATGATTGAGACACAGCGACGCTCCAGGCAGCTCCCACACACTGTAGTGCCAAGGACAGGGAAAGGGCCAGAAGAAAATTAAATCAGGTGGGCTTGGCTTGGGTATTTGCTGGATATTACATCCAGGAGGAGGGGTGAGACAAAGCTTGGCGTCTGATTTCCTAAGGGAGACCTGAGAGCAAATGGTCACGGTTCCCATGGGGCACAAAGGTTGATGGTTGCACAGGGATGACCTTAGGGTAGGAGAAACCACCAGGAACAGCCCTGGGCACTGGGAGGCCTCCACACTGGCAGGGCTGCCCCTGTCCCACGGGACCCACATGGCACAGAGAGGTCCCCAGCCCTGGTACCCCGCTGCAAGAGCACTGGGCAGCAGGGGCAGGGCCCTGGCAGGCTGGCCTTCCCTGCTTCCTCACCCCCCAGTAATCACCCATCTGTCTCTTTCCCTTAATTGCAGTTGCTTGATTTCGCTCTGGGTTCTTTTTTTTAGGTAGGTGACACATGTTTGGTTCGAAACACTTAATTACCTCTTGGGATGCATTTCATTTATTCATGAAGATAGATATTGGAGTTGTTGGGTTTCCTTTATTTTGCTATTTTCCTTCTTTTTTCCCCTCTCTATTTTGTAAGGAAAGAATGAAGAAAAAAAAAAAACACATATACTTCCAGCACGTGTATACCCAGCCTCTCTCCTCTGTGCCTCCCAGCCTCTCCTGTAGCTCCTGATCAGAGGAGCGGTGGTGGGGAGGAGGGGTCCACCCTGGCAATCTGTTGGCATGCTGTGGCTCCTTGGAAATTGGAAGGTGAATCACAGTGGCGGTGCCAAGCCCAGCTCCCACACTGCTGCTGTGGGAGATGCTGGGAGGCGAGAGCCATGCTCTGGTGCTCTGGCACAGGGCAGGAGTGCTTGAGATGGGGGATTTGCAACTTGACTCCTCTGTTTGCAACTTGACTCCTCTGTGACTGTGCAGCCATGGTCAGTGGCTGCTGAGCAGGCAGAGGGGGACAAGCCAAACCTCAGGCTGCCTGGTGCCCTTGGCCCCTGCCTGGCACTTTGGGGAAGCTGAGTCATGGGGGCAGTGACGGGCCTGGTTCTTCCTCTCTGACCTGGATGTGAGAGGAGAAAAGCCCTGGAGATGTCTTTGCTTGTGTTCTTGTGAGGCTTGAGGGTCAGGGCCAAGGATGTGTGCACAGGACATGTTCCTGCCCTGCCTGCGTGACTGGAAGATACCCTCTGTGCTGGTATGGTGGTGGACTCCACTGCGGCATTTGGGGATGCTGTGGCTGCACAGAGTGTTGGTCTGTGGCCGGGGGGTGCCAGCACAGAGCAGGTGATGTCCCAGGGGGTGGGTGGTCAAGATCAGGACAGCCTGGCTGGAGGGATGCATAGCTGCACTGCTGGATTGGCTTCCTGCATCTTTTATAGCATGGCCAGGCAGTATGTTGGCATCTAGGGTGACGCTCAGGGGGGGGAGGAGCAGTGGGTATCTCCCTGTTGCTAGAGCTGCCGTCCCCACTGTGAAAGACACATCGCAGGAGCATTGCACAGTGGTGGGATGCACGGTGCCTCTGGGTGCCTCTGCCCTCCCATGTTGTGGGGCAGGCTGGATATGAAGGTCCAGCCTCTCCCTGCACCTCTTCCCAGAATAAAGGTGCCCCATGTCACCAGGCCAGGCTGGCAGCCTTGACCGGGCTCTGCAGTTGGTCATTCCCCCCAAAGCTGGAGAGGACACTTGTGCACGGCCAGGCCTGGTGCGTGCCCACTCCCAGCCAAGCTCACTGTGAACAACCCTTGGCATGACAACCCCACGCAGGTGGAGACGGAGCTACTGAGCAGGACCTGGAGCTGCTTTCCTCCATCTGCTCGTGCTGTGCCAAGGAGGCCAAACCCCTCCCGGCACCCATCTGAGAGCAGCTGGATCCTTCAGCACCTTCAAGACGCAGCATTTTGCTCATAGCTGTCTTCAGCAGGCATATTCTTGCAGTTTCTGCACAGGATGCTCAGTGAAATGTGTCTTCAGAAAGGCAACTTGGGTCCTTATCACTAGTCGGGACTTCTGCTTTCATAACCCTTGTTGAAAGTACCAGAAATTGCAGGTGTGACTGCCTGTCTCTTGCCTTATGTCTCATCAGGGCTCTGGTCTCACTCTGCGTTTGCATTTCTGCCCAGGGAATTTGGAACCAAAGCAACCCCTTCCATCAGAGACATGGCTGTATCACAGTAATCCTCCTGCTGCCTATTGATTGTGAGAAACCAATAACTCAAATTAATTGAAAAGAGAAAAAAGAATTGCACTAGAAGCTCCCATCCCTTTGCCGCCTTGTATCTGTGCACAGAGGCCCCTAGGATGGTCACTATCTGTGCTGGATAATTGCATAAACTACCCCATGCTCTGACTTTGGGTCTGGAAGTGGAAAGGAGCCCAGTCTGGATGAGGCAGGGGAACAGGGATGTATTTGCTGTACTCCTGCAAGAATTTGTCTGTGTGTCTGGAGGGAGCTGCTGGCCTGCAGGAGAGGGACAGCAAAGTCTTTGTTCCTTGTGGGAGAGGGTCTGAAATGAAAAACTAAGGAATGAGACTGATTAAAGGTCACAGAGCTCTGAGAAGAGGCAGTTGAGGACTTCTTACTTCTAATGGCCTTCTTCTGTATGTTGAAGAGAAGCTTAATCTAAGGTTCCAGCGTTGCTTATTGACATGTGCTTCAGGCAGAGACAGTAAATGGGAGCAGGATTACCCGAGGGCTTGTTCCAAAGTCAGGGTCCAGCCTGTTTGGGAAGGACTAGGAGCCTGCTCCCCTATGAGGTCTTGCTTCCTTGAGTACAGAATGAGGTGGTGGAAAAGGATGGGGTGGCAAGTATTTACACTGTTCAGCCCAACACCTGGCCCATAGTCTCTAGTTTTCCCCTGAGAAAGGAATGTATTCCCTGCACACATGTGTAACAAAGCATGGCTGAGGACCTGTGTTTCCCAAAGCGTTAGGCACAGCCTGGAGCAGTGCTGTTTCTGTAGGGGTGAGGGCTGGATGCTCTCAGCTGATGTTCAGCCTGGAGAATTGCTAGCACAGGACAATATGAATAATACGGAGCCATGAAACCTAGAACCTGACTCGCAGGCACCAGCCCTTCTTTCAAAGGGAAGAGGTCTGGCCTGCTAGCAGAGTCAGCTTCCACATTTTTACGTGATGAGCTTGTGGCATTGTTTTGGTTTTTACATGCCGAAGGCCACTGGTGGAGACATCAGTACTCTTTCTGGAAGCTTGCTTTCTTAGAGACTAAATAAAAGCAAAGGGC